AATTAGTCTAACAATGAGATTTGAATTTCTTCTGATATATTTAATCTATTTATTTTTATTATTATTATAAAAGAAGGAATGATTTTGTAAAAAAATACAAAAATAAAAGTTTTTATATTTAATTTATTTTTAAAGGCCAATGATAATTATAAATAAATATTTTTGATATAATATGATTACAACTCTAAATAAATTAATGAAAAAACAAATCTTTATTTAATCACTACAAGAAAATGATGAAATTCTAACGGAAATCTATTCCAAAAGAAATATTCCAACGACAATTCCAACGAATATTTCAATACTATTCTTTCCGTTGGAATTTTTCAATGGACTCCAACAAAAATTCCAACAAAAATATTCTGGATTTTTCATTGGAATTTCCGTTGGATTTTGACGATTCCAACGGTGGATTTTCCAACGGGGGTGGAAATAAAAATTCCAACAGAAATTCCTATGGTAAAAAGCTATTGGAAATATAGTCGGTGGAATCATCAAATTTTATTTAAAATTCCAATGAAAAAACATTCCAACATAATATTTTTGTTAGAACCATTCCAGCGGAAGCTATACCATTGGAATATACATTGGAATTTTCATTAGAATATATTATCATAGGATTTTTCGTTGGAATATAACAATTTTTTTGTATTGAATAAAAAATAAAAAGAAAATTATTGAGATACAGAATTGAGATCAGAAAACGAGAGAGAAAGGAAAGCTTGATACTTCTGATATTGAACGCAAAAGTGAGAATGACAAAAGTGAGATCCTAACCCTAATACAGACTATATATACTGAAGGCAAAACAACTAAAAGTGTTAAAACAGTAAACACAACTATTACTCTCCAAAACACACTAATAAGGTAAAATACTAAAATACCCTTTACATTAATACCCCCCGCAAGTTAAGCATGTATATTAGACATGTTTAACTTGGACAACAAGTTCTCAAATAAAGGAAAAGCAAGAGGTTTGGTTAATAGATCTGCAGGCTGTTCACTTGTAGGGATGTGCTGTAAATGGATAACTCCTTTTGCAACTTTCTCCCGAATGATGTGACAGTCAATCTCTATGTGTTTTGTCCTCTCATGATGAACCGGGTTATGGGCTATGCAAATGGCAGACTTACTATCTGAAAACATGGAAACAGGTTGGGTGTGAGGGATATGTAAATCAGACAATAAGTAAAGTAACCATTGAGTTTCACAGGTTGTAGAGGCTAGAGCCCTGTACTCTGCTTCAGCAGAGGATTTGCTGACAGTATTTTGTTTCTTTGATTTCCATGAGACCAAAGAATTACCAAGGAAAATGGCATATCCTGTGATACTTTTTCTGGTGTTGGGACAACCAACCCAATCACTGTCAGAAAAAGCATTCAGATGTAATGAAGAGGATCTGGGAAAGAGAATACCTGAGCCTGCAGTAGCTTTCACATACCTTAAGACTTTATGAGCTGCAGCTAAATGATCTGAAGTAGGCTGAGACATAAATTGACTTAAACACTGAATGCTGTAAGCAAGGTCAGGCCTTGTAATGGTTAAATATAGAAGTCTTCCCACTAATCTTCTATATGCAGGTGCATCAGTTAAAGTGGAATCAGATGTGGCAACAGTAAGTTTTGAAGTGCAATGCATTGGAGTTTTAGCAGGCTTACAGCCAATATATCCTGTATCAGTAAGAATGTCCAATGCATATTTTCTTTGGCATAAGTGTATCCCAGTTTCAGAATGAGCTACCTCTAATCCCAAGATATATTTTAAGATGCCCAAATCTTTTATGGTAAAACATGCATCTAAATGGGATTTTATGGCTTGAATTTCAGACAGAGAATTACCAGCCAATATAATGTCATCTACATAAACTAATAAAGCAAGAAATGAAGAATCAGATGATTTAGTGAATAAACTGCAGTCAGCTGATGATTGAGTAAAACCATATGCAAGTAAACAGGTAGTCAATTTGTTGAACCACTGTCTAGAAGCCTGCTTTAAACCATATAGACTCTTTATCAATTTACAGACTCTAGTATCAGAATCATTAAGATAACCAGGTGGAGGAATCATATAGACTTCCTCATCAAGATCACCATGGAGAAAAGCATTATTTACATCTAACTGATGAAGATGCCAGTTTTTAATGGAAGCAATAGCAAGAACAAGTCTGACAGTAGTGATTCTAGCAACAGGGGAAAAAGTATCAAAATAATCAATGCCCTCTTCTTGGGTATACCCCTTTGCTACTAGTCTAGCTTTATATCTTTCAATACTACCATCAGATTTGTATTTAATTTTGTAAACCCATTTGCAACCTATAGAATGTTTACCATTTGGCAAATCAGTAAGAACCCAAGTGTTTGTTTTCTCCAAAGCTTTTATTTCTTTATTCATGGCTTCTTGCCAAAGAGGATTCTTAATGGCTTGTTTGTAAGTTTTGGGTTCAACATTTTCAGAAATTGCAGCAGTAAAGCAAGCATGTTCATTAGATAGATGATCAACAGATAAAAAATCAGATATGCAGTAAGGAGTACCTGAGCAATGTTTTCCAGAAATAGATAAGAAGAAGATGTTTGATTTGAATGGGAATTGTAAGGTTGTTTGGTAATTGGGTTGGTGTAGACACTAAGATATGATGGAGTGGTTTTATGTCTAGTTGATCTTCTCAGGGAAGGGGGAGAAGGAGGATTATGAGGTGTAGAGGATGGACTGTGAGATTGATGATTGTTGGGAGGTGTAATAATAGCAGTGGGTGTTACAGTAGTAACAGGGGGTGGTGCACTGACAGGGGGTGGAGGATTAATGTTGATTGTTTGAGTAGTAGATGGTGGATGGGTAAGTGTATTGTCAAAAAGAAAATCTGGTGGTTGAGGAAATAAACAGTCCAGAGAGGATTTGTTAGGAAATTTGAAAGGGATAACATCTTCAAAGAAAATAACATTTCTGGAAATTAATGTCTGCTTGGTGTCCAGGTTGTAGAGCTTATAGCCTTTACAACCAATGGGATAGCCAAGAAGTATGCATTTTGAAGACCTTGGGGCAAATTTATGTCTGTTTGAATGCAATGTGGATGAATAGCATAGAGAACCAATTACTCTGAGATGCTCCAAAGATGGAGATTTATTGAAAAGTTTTTGAAAAGGAGAGAGGTTTTGTAAAAGTTTTGAAGGAATTCTATTAATGATATGAGCAGCAGTTTGGATGCAATCTATCCAAAACATTAAAGGTAAATGACCATGAAACAGAAGTGCTCTAGCAACTTGTAACAAATGTTGATGTTTTCTCTCAACTCTCCCATTTTGTTGAGGTGTTTCAACACTACTTGTTTCATGTAAAATTCCATTGTCTTTGTAAAAATCATGCAAGAGAAATTCAGTACCATTGTCTGACCTAATAGTTTTGATATGTTTATGAAATTGAGTTTTCACTAAATTAGAAAAATGGACTAATGCTGATTTAGTGTCAGACTTTTGGCAAAGAGGATAAATCCATGTGACTCTAGAGTAATCATCAACAATAGTGAGAAAGTACCTGTGTCCAGCATAAGAAGGAGTGGAAAAAGGGCCCCATAAATCACAATGTATGAGATCAAAAATATTAGATGCAATTGAAGTACTTTGTGAAAAAGGTAACCTTTTCTGTCTGGAAAACTGACAGACATCACATGGTTTATCAGCATTAGATTTACAAGAACCAGTGCATACAGATAAAGTATCAAGTTTATGATATGACAAGTGTCCCAATCTGTAATGCCATATGTCATGAGATACAGTGGATGAAACATTGGATACATGGTTTGTAATAGGTAAAGAAACATTTGAAGAAACAGATGCAACAGACATTGTTGCATTTACATTTGTAAGAAAATCAGTAGAAAGATGATAAAGTCCAGCTTTGACCTCAGCAAAACCAATCATTTTGCTGTTCAGGTCCTGTATGACACAATAAGAAGAAACAAATTTGACTATGCAATTATTTGATGCAGATAATTTTGAAATGGATATTAGATTGAAAGAAAAATTTGGAACATAGAGAACATTGAGGAGCACAAGATTAGGTCCCAGATTGATCTGTCCCACATGGCTAGCCTCAGTGTAAGCTCCATTTGGAAGGTTTATCTTAACAGAAATAGGAGTAGGTGGTTTTGAAAACAAAGACAAATCACAGATCATATGGTCAGTTGCTCCTGTATCCAGGATCCAGGTCTTTTTGGTAAAATTAGTTTGAGAAAAACAAATAGTATGATTTGTCTTACCAATGTTAATGTCAGTTTGAGCAACAGAATGAGCAGTAGCAGCAACAGGATTGG